CGGAGCACTGTCGCTTTGACCGCTGCCAGAGGTCGCGGTAAATCCGCAGCTCTTGGTGTGGCCATTGCGGCCGCTGTGGCGCACAGTTACAGCAACATCTTCATCACCTCGCCCAGCCCCGAGAACTTGAAGACCCTCTTCGAGTTCGTGTTCAAGGGCTTTGACGCTCTCGGCTACCTCGACCATGTTGACTACACCATCCTTCAATCGACCAACCCAGATTTCAACAAGGCCATCGTCCGTGTCAACATCCATCGCCAGCACCGTCAGACCATCCAGTACATTCAGCCCCAGGATGCCCACGTCTTGGGTCAGGCTGAGCTGCTGGTGATCGATGAAGCCGCCGCCATCCCTCTTCCTCTGGTCCGCAAGCTAATGGGACCGTACTTGGTCTTCATGGCCTCTACCATTAACGGTTACGAAGGAACGGGCCGCTCCCTCTCCCTGAAGCTGATCCAGCAGCTTCGCGAGCAGTCCCGGGGAGGCGTCAAGGTCAGTGGTGAAGATGATATTGACGTCGCCGATCGTGCCACAGGCAAGGCCGCCAAGAACATTGACAAGAGCCTGGCTGGACGTTCTCTGAGAGAAATCACCCTCTCGGAACCCATCAGATACGCACCGGGTGATTCGGTGGAGAAGTGGTTGAACAAGGTCCTCTGCCTGGACGCGACCCTGCCCAAGTCTCGCATGAACACTCAGGGCACCCCCCACCCCTCGCAGTGTCAATTGCTGCAAGTCAACCGTGATACCCTGTTCTCCTTCCACCCTGTTTCCGAAAAATTCCTTCAGCAGATGATGGCTCTCTACGTTGCCAGCCACTACAAGAACACCCCTAATGATCTCCAGCTCATGAGCGATGCGCCCGCGCACCAGCTGTTTGTTCTCGTTCCCCCGATTGACGAAGAAGCCACCAAGCTTCCTGAACCCCTCTGTGTCATTCAGGTTGCGCTGGAAGGTCGCATCAGCCGACAGAGTGTCCTTAACAGCCTGAGCCGCGGTCAGCGGGCAGGCGGTGATCTGATCCCTTGGCTGGTCAGCCAGCAATACCAAGATGAGGACTTCGCCGGTCTTTCGGGTGCCCGGATTGTCCGTATCGCCACGAACCCAGAGTATCTGAGCATGGGATACGGTTCCCGTGCTCTTGAGCTGCTCATTGACTTCTACGAGGGCAAGTTCACCAGCCTTTCGGAGGATATCCCCGAGGTGCAGGATGAGATGGTCCGGGTGACGGACGAGGAGCTGACCAACTCCAACCTCTTGGATGACAACGTCAAGGTCCGCGATATCCACACCATGCCCCCATTGTTCGGCAAACTGACCGAGCGTCGCCCCGACGCTCTCGACTACGTTGGTGTCAGTTTCGGTCTCACCCCCTCTCTGCACAAGTTCTGGAAGCGCTCGTCCTTCTCTCCCGTCTACCTCCGCCAGACCCCCAACGACCTGACCGGCGAGCACTCCTGCGTGATGCTGCGCACCCTGACCACCGGCTCCAACGATGCCGCCTGGCTGGGCGCCTTCTCGCGTGACTTCCACAAGCGTTTCTCGTCTTTGCTGTCGTACCAGTTCCGCGAGTTCCCCTCCGTGCTGTCTCTCAGCATCTGCGAGTCCGCCAACTCCGGCGCCAAACTCGACCCCTCCATCTCCCAGAACCCCCTGACCAAGGCCGAGCTCGATGCCGCCTTCTCGCCCTTCGACCTTAAGCGTCTCGACAGCTACGCCAACAACCTCCTCGACTACCACGTCATCCTCGACATGGTCCCCATCATCGCCGAGTACTACTTCTCCGGCCGCCTCAGCGGCAAGGTCAGCCTGTCCGGCGTGCAGCAATCCATCCTGCTCGCCATTGGTCTGCAGCGCAAGAACCTTGACACAATCGAGAAGGAGCTCACCCTCCCCTCGTCTCAGCTCCTCGCCATGTTCCTCAAGATCATCCGCAAGGTCTCCACTTACTTCCGCAACCTGATCGAAGGTGCCGTTGCCGAGACCATGCCCGCAGAGAAGGCTCCCTCCGCTCGGGTCACCACCGAGGCGCATGACGAGCTTCCCGACGAGCGCTTCAAGCCCCTGGAGACTAGCCTGGACGACGAACTCCGTGAAGGTGGTCAAGAAGTCAACGAGGAGCTTCGCGAGAAGCAGCGCGCCTTGATCGATGCTCTTCCTCTTGACAAGTTAGTCCCCCTTCCTTCTTCCCCCCTCTTTCCTCCAATATAGTCAATCATAATCATTGAATGACAATAACTGATTTACAGTCTCCAGATACGAGATCAACCACGGTAGCGCGGCATGGGAAGAAGCCGAGAAGCAGATCCGCGCCGGCGGTGCTTCCACTGTCAGCGTCAAGACCAGCAAGCAGACCAAGCGCAAGAAGGGCGAGTCGGCTCGTGAGATCTACGACCAGGAGATCGATTCCAAGAGACAGAAGATCATTAAGAAGGGAACGGAGGGAAAGAAGAAGAAGCATTAGTTATTTGCTTTCTTCGTTTACCACTTGCCTTCTTTCTTCCTTGCTTTTTATTCTATACTTGGGCTGTCTCAAGTGGATGTGTCTCTTTTATGCATTGATTAGATCATGGTGTTATGTGTGTGTGATTTCTTTTTGTGACTTCGAATGATGTATAGTTGTATTGTATATATGTGGCTGGGTTTGAAAAAGTCTTAATTGAATTCTTTCGAGAGCAAGCTTTACTCAATTTTTCACTTTAGATACCGATTTTACAATGATTAGTATAAAACTTGGAGTAGCTGACAGTAAACGATATGTATGCTATTGATGCTCAATATGAGAAACCAGCTAGTAGTAACTTAGTAGCAGGCTCCGTCCGAATTACATATGTGACCTAATAAACACCCGTGCTAATAAACAAATTCATGCAACTCCATACGGATCATGTGTTTTACAATTCGTCGTGGTCGACCGCCGGCTTCTCCTCGACGGGCTCTTCAACCACTTCCTCGACCTTCTCTTCAACCTTCTCCTCAACCACCTCCTCAACAACAACGCCCTCAGGTAACTTCTGCTTCTCGCCCTCACCCAACCTAATCGCATCAATCCAAGCCTCGACACGCTCCTGGCCGTACTCCGCGCCCTCCACCGAGTCATACCTGCGCCACCAGCCACGACGTCCATTCAAAGCAACGATCTCCACAGAGTTATCCTCCGGCAGACCGAGTCCAGCGCGGAGGGTCTTAGCTCCGCTATTGATAGCCGGGACACTGTAGAACGGGAAGAGCTTGCTCTTTCGAACGGCATGCTTGTGTGAGATCTCAGCCAGACTGAGAAGAGCGTCCTTGGCGGGAGCGGGGAGGTCTGCGTCGGGCTCGCTCGGTTCAGGGAGGAGAGCCAGCACGCAGGTACCGGATTTCGGCATCAGACAGGCAGCCTCGAGGGCTTCCGCGGTGGGGAGGGTATCAATGGGAGGGGCCGGGATGGGCACACTGGCGGGTTTGGTGTCGTCCTCCTGGGCGACCTTCGCGTCTGGGGCAGATTCGGTAGATTTCTTCTTGTTGTTATCGCGGGGCGCGGTGGTGCCCTTAGGGGCGGGATCCGGATTAGGAGCGGCGGCTTGGCTGAGGAACTCGACCATGGGCTTCTTCTTCAGCTCGCCGTCGTAGATGATGAGGTCTTGGCCGTTTCCTGGGAGGAGGACGAAGGTCGGGAACTCGGTGATGCCGAATTTCTCGACGGCTTCGGTTTCCTTGTTGCGGACCTGGGCGACTTGGATGGAGCCGAGGAAGTCGATGGCCAGGGCGCGAAGGAGAGGGCTGGTGGTGCCTTTCTCTGTGAAGAGGATGGCCTTGGGCGACTCTTCGTCCTGCGCGAGCCAGGTGTTCAGGTCCTTGTCTGTTGCGCGCTTCACGTGGTTGGGGATTCGGTCGACGACTGCTTCGACGATCGCTTTGGCGCTCCGCGCGCCCTTGTAGTCTTCCACGCGCGGCTTGCCGGGTTTCTTGCCGGGGGTGACGATCTTGAGGGTTGGGAAGCCCTGGACGCCCATGCGGCCGCAGAAGGGTTTGTTGTCGTCATCGTCGCAATTGACGGCTGCGACTTTGGCCAGGCCGTCGAGGTTGGTTGCGGCCTTTTCGTAGGCGGGTTTGAGGTTCTGGCAGTGGCCGCACCAGGGGGCGTAGAATCTGGAGGAGAGCGGGGAGGTTTAGGATTGTGGGAGGTAGATGGGTAGGGTGGTAGATGGCTTACTCTACGATCTAAGAGAGCTTGGTTAGACTTGTTTGTAGACCATTGATGATACTCTGCGCAGCTGGACTCACCGAAGTATGGTTGGAGTTTGCAATCAACTGGTCGTAGTTCTTCTGGTTGACCTGCAAGACGGGGGATTTCTTCGTATACAATCCATCAGCGTTGACAGGCAACGCCGCCAGAAGCGACGTGACGAAAAGCAATGCAGAGCTAGGCTGCAGCATGATTGCGGGCGAGGAAGAAGCGAGAGCGGATTCAGGAGTAGCAGCTAAAGCATCACCCAGCGGGGATGAGTTTGAGGAGAAGAAATAGGGAGAAGAGAGGACAGAAAGAAGTAGATAGAAGCAAGGTGTCCTGAAGCTCTTGGCATGTGACGCGAAATGATCTAACAAAGTAATATTGAATTGTATGGATTTGGAATGGCGGCGGATCCGTCCGTTCGATGTTCCCCGCCGTCAAACCAGTCGGTCAATCCATTGTTCATTCCCCCCATGAATTGTATCCATAATTCAGTCAAATATTCTGACATTTCAATGGCCATCGGCAATCCTGTCATGTCTTCCGGGCAAAAACTCGATGAGCACAAAGCTCCGTAGCTCCGGGCCCATAAGATCCTTTGTTTATGCGGAGCCCATACTACTATCTACTTAAGAGTTAGACAGTCTTGGACTAGACTAATTAGTTACCATCTGCTACTAATCGAGGGTCTCTTTCCTTTAGTGCTCGGAATCCCCCAGGCACTTTCCCCGCCTTACCAATTCTAAAAAAAAAAAAAAAAAAAAAAAAAAAAAACAAGAACGACCATGTCCAATGCATCCCCATCTGAAGGCAAGGGCATGGCCCTCCTGCCCCGGGAGATCTTCTGGCTTATACTGAAGCGTCTCGAGCCGGGCGATGTCCTCCGTTGCCGACGAGTCTGCAAATCATGGAACGAAGCCTTTCGCATTGGCGCCAACCTGCTTCCAATGCTAAAGAAACGATACCCCTTAGCCAGAGAAGTGCGACAGCTAGCCTCTGAAAGCGCAGAAACGCTCGAATCACCAGAATACGACACTCACATATCCCAGATCTTCGACAAAGTCACAGCCAAATACGACTATCTAAGTCGACTAACGTACCGAACAATGCACAAGTTCAAGCTCAGCAATGACTTCGGCATCACAGGCCAGAAGAACTGGTTCTCCGTCCCGCCATGGGAACACCACGCCAGCCATCTCATGCAGCGCGTCGACCGATCATTCGGCGAGACCTTCTGGACCTACGACGACGGGCTCCTAGTATTCCCAAGTGCAGAGCATTCATGTCTCGTCCTAATGGACATGGAAACCGACAGAAAATTCATGGTCCCATTCATCATCGTCGGGCGAATAATCCGCCGAGTCCGTCTGCAGAAACGAGTCCTCATCATCGAATGGGCAGAATACATACCCTACCACTGGCTCAACGACAGCGACGGTGTCCACCGACACTTCGCGACCTCCTTCGACGTGAACCGCAAGGAAGATGGCTGGAGCGTCAACTTCCGAAACGAATGGAAGATCATGTTCCTCGGCCATCCTCTCAGCGAGCGAGATCGTTTCTACTCCACTCATACCAGCACCCATTATGCCATCTACATCTGGCAACCCAACCGCAGCCTCTACACCGCAGACGAGGACGCCCCCATCGAGTCCCTCTCCGTCTGGGACATTTCCAAACCCTCGGATTACCGACCTTCCCTAGACCCGACAGGTCGCTTGCGATTCGAGTCCGCAGGAGGAGGAGAAGAAGACCTCGGACCAACCATCATCACTCGCCTCGGGTTCCGAGAACTAGATTTCTACGGCATCCGTCAGCGAGGTCTCCCAATGATACAATCCCTCAGCATCACCGACGACGATCAGTCCATAGAGATCCTCGAGGGTACGTGCGCGGGCCGTTCACCGCAGGTCCTTATCCCTGAGGCATGGGAGTCTGAGGTGTGGGTGACGACTATCCCCATCGTTGGCGAGGGTCCGCGCCGGCGACAACGCGCTGACTTTGCCTTGCCACCGTATCGAGGGAACTGTAGCTTGCAGACTAAGCCTATTACTTTTGCGATCTGCGATGAACCGTGGCATTCCATTGTTTGTGAGTCGTATGATGAGCAGTCGCAGACGGGTTATTGTCTTTACTATGAGAAACAGGAATGGCCGATTGAAATGGCTCTGTTTCTCGCTGTTGCCTCACCTGAGTACGCTCCTGAACCGGCAATTGTCTTGCCATGGAGCATGGTAACGGAGTTCATTGGGATGGGGAAGGTTTGTGGGACGGAGGACTATATAATAGGGCAGAACCGCGATCGTGAGCTTGTTATATTTAGGTTTGATAGATGAGGTGATTGTTCAATTATCACTGAGGAATACTGCATTGCATACTTAAGCTCACTAGATTAGGTTTTCATGAATAGTAAACGAACTGAAACAAAGCGTCAAAAAAATAACAAAGTCTCAAGTAATATCAAATGAAACGTAGACCAGGCCACGGTCTTCACCTCCTTTGAGAGAAAATTAAAGGAAATGAAAAGAAAAACAACCGGCTCCTACCAGCCCAGCGCACTAACATCCCATCCCCTCAGCAAATCCCCTTCCCCCTCCCCCTTACCCGCAGCAGCAGCGGCAGAGGTCAACCTGCACCCCGCGCACTTCTCAATCCCGCATCCCGGGCAAGTGAGTATAAAAAGCGGCTGCCGAAGCTGGCACCCGTCACACTTGTCCCGGCCAAAACTCTTCTCCCAGCCGCCCAGATGGAGACAAGCCGGGGCATCTTGCTTCTCCTTGCTGAGCGGCTTCGCCCCCGGGAAGGTGAGGCGGACACCTTCCAACCAACCGCAGTACACGTCGAAGACCATGCCAGTTAGCTCGAAAAGGAAGTCCTGGCTGGTGTAGCTGTTGGCTGGACCGCTGAGTTTGGAGCAGAAATGGAAGAGGAGCGGGTCGCCATTGTCGGTGCTAGTGGTGGCGTTGGGTTTGATGGCGGGGGAGGGGAGGGAGGGCGTGACAGAAGGGAGAGAAGGAGGGTTGACGGCGGGAGAGAAGATGCTCGAGTCGGTGGGCTGGGGCACATTGCTCATAGTGAGACAGACACCGCCAGCTCCATCCATGACAGATTCAGCGTCCGATTCACTAGCACATTCGGCAGTCACGTACTCGGTGCTCTCGGAGATGTTCGAGGCAGGCTGCTCGCTCGTAGTGTGAGAAAAGCTGAAAAAGTAGATGTCTGCTCCATTGTTATTGCCGCCATCTCCGTATAGATCATCTTCCTCATCGGAATGATAGTATCCATCGTCTTCGTAGCGATCCGCATCATAAAAATTGTCGTGGTGCTGAGTAGGTGCTCCTGCTCCTGGGCCTTGGGGCTGCTCGTCGTCTTCGTCCTCATTCTCAGGATCATCATTCTGGTTCTCTCCACGGCGGTTGTCATCGTCATCTTCATCGTCGTCGTCATCCCCCTCCTCGTCTTCCTCTTCGTCTTCATCATCGCCTTCATCATCGCCTTCATCATCGCCTTCATCATCGCCTTCATCATCGCCTTCATCCTCGTCGCCACCGTAGTAGACGGCCTCTTCTTCGTTGTAATAAAAGCTCTCGTGCCACTCTCTGGAAACATCGGACCCAGCCTCCTTAGATCTCCAGCAATGTTCATTACCGTAGCCACGAGCAAACTCTTTCTCGTCATGGTCGAGCTCATCTTCCTCCCCATTCTTCAGCCTCTCCTCATCCTTTTCAACATTAGCCCTCATGGCCTTTCTTCTCTTCTCAATACCCTCAGCTTCCTGATTGCGAAGATACTCCAGGATATCCTGAAAATGCTGAGGTTTGTTAAACAAAATGCCACCGTCATCAACCCCTTCATCCTCCTCACCATCATCGTCTTCATTCTCACTTCCCATACCATCCGCAGCCGCAGCCCGTGCTGCCGCCGCCGCCGCCGCAGCAGCTTCCCTCTCCAACTGCTCACCTACTCTAATCTCAATCTCCACACGAGCTTTCTCAACCAGAGACTCAGGAGCGAACGGGTCCATATGAACACTATTGCCGTACTTGTATCTGTACAACTCCATGGGGTCACTGAAATCTTCGTCGCGCTTCCAGCTCATAGGTCTCCAAGATCCTTCTGGCCAGTTTTCGTACTCGTCGTCAGAGCCAAACGGGGTGGAGTGGAAGTAGTAGCCAGCTCGACGGAGTGTATCGTCGTGCTCTTGCTTCCGGATGGGATCGCGGAGGGTCTCGATGGCTTCTTGGATCTGAGATAATGTGAGGTTCAGCTTGCTTTATTGCTTAAAAGATTGTGTGGTGATGATGGTTATCGGAGAAGATGAGTGAGGGACTCGATTGTGAGGTTCATATAATCTTTCCTTTTATTCACTCACCTTCTGAAACTCGTCGTTGGAGACATCTGCATTACCGGTGCCTTGCTTGTCCGGATGATGCTTCAGTGCGAGCTTCTTGTACGCGCTGTTGATGTCCTTTAGAGACGAGTTGTGAGAGATTCCCAGAATCGAGTAGTAATTAGTCACACGTGTAGCGGAGTACATCTTGATGGAATGACTTGATTCCTAAAGTTTAAAGTAGATGTGAAAATGTGCAGTATGGGAGATACAAGATGGCGTAGGCGTGAGGGGAAAGTGATGGGCGTTGCAAGTAGGTGCAGGAAGAGAAGGAAACAAACGCCGAGAGGGGATTGTTGACAGGTCCGGACACATCTGTCAAAGGAAGCAGTGAATGGAAGGGACTTCCCCCCGAATACGTGAAATTCAGTCCGTGAATGCAAACGTGAAGTGACCGGGAAGTTCCCGTTTGATATTCCCGCCTATGTTGTGTAATGACAGCAGCATTCCCTCCACGCTACCAATTGGTCATGAGAACACAAGAAAACAATGACAAAGAAAAGATAGTGATAGATTTTACAGGCTGACAAGCATCTAGGTATTTATGAGTAAGTCTACACACATGGCGACTCCTCCCCACACAAGCTTCATGGAAGCTTTTACATGTCCGCACTGGCGGTGGCACCAGTGATAATTTCAACCAGTTCGCCGGTAATGGCGGCTTGACGCTGACGGTTGTACAAGATCTGGAACCTGCAAGGAATTAGCCTTGATCAGTGGAATCGGATGAACTTTGAGACTTACTTGTTGATCATCTCACCAGCGTTCTTGGAGGCGTTCTGTAGAACATGGTTAGTCGGGGTTAATTTCGAACATCTGAATGATACTTGCCTCCATGGCGTTACGACGAGCCTGTAATCACATTAGCTTGGTATTCCAAATCAAAGATATCTTTTAGCGGGAGAACTTACGGAGATTTCGCAAGCGTGACCCTCAGCCATAGCCCAGAAGAGGTTGTTGGCAAGGGCGTATTCACGGAGGTGGGCCAGAGTCTGGTCATCAGTCTCGAAAGTAGAGAGGTTGGCTAGAGCAGAGAGTTCAGTCCCGATACACGCAAAACAAATTACATCTGATATAACTCACGAGACTGGGTGATAGCCTCCTCAGAGTAAGCCTCAACGGTACCGGCCTCGTAGGACTGGGCGTTGATGAACTGGTTGTAGATGATCTTGACGCTGGCGTAGTCGGTGGGCAGCTGAGAGATCTGGTCGGCGATGGACTGAGCGTCGTTGAAGGTGGGGATGTCCTTGCAGACGTTGGCGAAGCTCAGGACGATGGCGTTGGGGTTGGTACGAGACAGCTGAGCCTTGGCCTTCTCACCGAGGACGACGATGTCGGCATCGGGGTGCTGCTGGAGCATGCGACGAGTAGCCTTGCTGAGACCGGAGTGGATACCACCGCAAAGACCCTTGTCGGAGCTGGCGACGACGAGCAGAGTCTTCTTGTCCTCGAGAGGCTTGGTCTCGGCGTTCTCGAAAACGGTGTTGGAGGTCTGACCGTAGGTGCGAGAGTCCTCCATGGCCTTCTGGGCGCGAGTAAGACGGGTGGAGGCGATGACCTTCATGGTGTTGGTGATCTTCTCGATGTTCTTGATGGACTTGAGACGGCCCTCGATTTCACGCAGAGTCGCGAAGTTGGCGGCATTGGGAGGAGCAGTGCTTCGAAAAAATCAGCCATTGAACCACTCGATTGGTCTGCTTGTAGCTCCATCTCCTCGTTTTCCTAAAGGTTAAAGGTTTGGTGGTTTGGGGGGTGGGAGCGAGCTGGGACAGCCTAGCTGTGGTGTGGGAGGGAAACGAAAAGGCGACGGACGGGCGGGTGTTGTGGACATTCCGGAAGAGAAGAAGAACTTACCGGGAGACCGCAATGCTACCAGCCCTCACAGCCGGACGAACAGCACGGGAGAACATATTGCAAAGAAGCCGTACGGTCGAAGAGACCAACGATAAACAATCGTAGAGGGGATAATGTGGGGAGAGGGGGAGGAGGGAGAGGGTAGAGGAATCCTCGTAGGCTGGCGGTTGAGAAGTCGGTGGTTGAAGTTGGACTCCTGTTTCTGTTCTTCCGACAGCCGGCAGCACGGGACCCAACCGCGCTAGACCCAAACGGGTAGTCTGGTGGTGAAATGGCTGGTGGTCCGGGTGTCCGGGTGTCCACAGCGACCAGCCGTGCAGCCCGGCCGGGCGTGCACGGCGCTAATCCTAAACTGGAAGCTCTCGAGTTGCCGGGCATATCAGGTGACCTGGCTGCGCGCAGGCTTACGTCGGCTGAGTCAGCAGCGCCACTCAGGCATGCAGGCACCGAGGCGCCCGGAATTGAAATAGAGTCGTCATAATTTCCATACAAACTTCCAGACCCGGCAGCCTTGGCACCTCAGGCTGCCAGCCTCCTCGCACGGCGAGTGGCTGACGGTCCGGAGAAACGTGAAGATCGCCTCAGGCCCCAAAAGACGGCCTCGTTTTCCATTCCATTCCTTCTCTTCTTCCTCTCTTTCCTCTCTCTCTCTCTCTCTCTCCCTCTCTCTCTCTTCTCTCTTCCCTTCCCTTTCCTTTTCCCTCTCGTCATCTTTGGCTCTGCTGTCTCTTTTCTCTCTTCTTCCCCTCTCCCCCCTTCAGCTTCTTCTCCTCTCCGCTCCTCCCGCTCGAGTCTCTTTCCACCCTCCCCTCTCCGGTTTCTCGTTTTCCTTCCGTCTTTCCCTATTCGGTCTATGTCTGTCTCTCCCTTTTAGTTGACGCTTTCTCGTTGCCATTAGCCTTCCCATTGGCCAGGCTGCCGTTGCTTTCATCACTCCTTCAAGCGCCAGCTCCGATCCGCAGACTCGCCCTCTCTCGCGCGCGCCCCTGCGCTCTCCCACCCCGGTTTTGCCTGTCTACTCGCTCCTTGGGCCCACGCGCTTTTTCTATCAATCGCCTGGTAACCATGAGCTCTTCGGAAGACGATACCCCGCTTGTCAAGGCAAACGGTCGCCGTACCAGTGAGTGTTACTTTCCTCTCTTTGCTCTCACATGACTCTTTCCCGCCTCTCTTTCACGCCTCA